AGATCGCGCCTCGTCTTGCGATCCGTCGTCCCTTCCAGGCTTTGCCAATTCTGTAGATCTGTCGGGAAACGGGTGAGTCGAGTGCTGCGTGTAGTACTAAATCAATTTGAATAACCTTACTGAAACAAATTGAAGCACCGCTCAGATTGGAATGATGTTACCGGTCGTTTGTTACCCGTCAATTGCGGTTATATGCGGCGCCAGGTTGGCCTAATTCCTCCCTTCCTGGATTCGTTGACTCAAACCCTAAGTGGGGTTTGAAGCCAAACCCGCCAGTGAAGGCCCGGTCCGGCTGATTCCCCCTCCGTTGTCCTCTCTTCCCTCATGCCCATTCCCCCACCCATCCCCCAAGTTCCCCCTCTCTCCCCCATTTCCCCAATCTTCCCCCCTCCTTCCCCTCCTGTACCCCCTCCTTTCCGCCCCATGTTTCTCCCCTTCCCCTCCTCCCCCTCCCAGCCTCTTGCTGCATTGGACCCGCAACGCCTCGCGCCTGCAGGTCGCGCTAGAAGCCAAACCCGCCAGTGGGGCCGACCGAGTCCGGCTGGTTCTCCCTTCCTTGTCCACTCCCTCTTGCCCATCCCCCTTTTTCCACAACTCCTGATTCCAACCCATCCCCAAACCTTCCCCTCTCTCCCCCATTTCCCCCCTCTTTCCCCCATCCTTCCCCTTCTGTCCCCCTCCTGACCCCCCTCCTGTCCCCCACTCTTCCCCAGCCTCGAGCTGCACTGGACCCTCAACGCCTCGCGCCTGGAGCTCGCACTAGAAGCCAAACCCGCCAGTGGGGCCGAGTCCGGCTGGTTCTCCGTCGGCTGGACGGCGAACCGCGGCCGTATGTACCCCGCGGATTGCGTGGTCGGGAACCTTCCGGGAAGCAGTGTGGGCGCGTATTACATGAGCGGATACAGCCAGTCTGACGTGGCGCCTTCTGATAGGTTCTCGATTGGGACGCCTGAGTTGACTGCTGACAGTAACGGCGGCACGATAATGAAGTGAGTCCTGCTGCTTCTGCTGCTGCTACTGCTGCTCCTCCTACTCTTCTTGCTCCTCCGGCGCCTTCTGACGGGTTCTCGATTGGGACACCTGAGTTGACTGCTGACAGCAACGGCGGCACGATAATGAGGTGAGTGGAGTGATGATATGTGGTTGTGGTAAGGTGAGGGGGAATGATAGATGTTATGATTGTAATTGCTTGTATCATTTAGAGGCGCCGCAAAACACGATCATCAAGTGAGTGGAGTGGAGTGATTTGTGGCGGTGAGGTGAGGGGAATGGTAGATCTTATCATGGTAGTTGTCTATATCATTTTGAGGCGCCTCAAATCACGATTATGAAGTGAGTGGAGCGATGATATGTGGTGAGGTGAGGGAAATGGTACATCTTATCATGGTAATTGCCTGTATAATTGAGATGGTGTTTCTCCTGCTGCGTCTACTCACTTTCCTGCTCCTTGTTCTGGTCCTGCTAATCCTTCTGCTCCTGCTGCTGCTGCTACTGCTGCTCCTCCTGCTCTTGCTCCTCCTGCTCCTGCCCGCTGGTTCTCTCGTCTCGATCCCAAGAGGACGGAGGGGCAGCACCAATCAGCTTCAGTGGCAGCAACAACATCGTCTGGGCTCCCTCCCTTTCCTCCCAACCTCACTCCTCCTCAACCCCTCTCCCCCAACCCACGCTCTCCTGTCTGCAGGTTCTCTCGATCAGAAGGAGACAGAGGGGCGGTAGGGAGCTTCACTGGCAGCAACAGCATCATCTGAACTTTCCCTCTCCCCTTGTCAATCCACGCTCTCCTGCCTGCAGATTCTCTCGATCAGAAGGGGATGGAGGGGCGGTGCCAGTGAGTTTCAGTGGCAGCAACAGCCTCATCTGGGGTTTCTCTGAGTCTGGTTCCACTGACCTGGCCTTCCACGGTCGCAACCAGTGAGTGAGGGAGTGAATGAGTGAGTGAGTGAGGAGAAGGGGATGGGAGGGGTGGGGGGGATATTGGTAAGTTTCAGTGGCAGCAACAGCATCATCTGGGCTTTCTCTGAGTCTGGATAGACTGAGCTGGCCTTCCACGGCAACAACATGTAAGTACCACTAGAGGGTCATAATCAATGAATATAGACGGGCGCGTGTCACACTTCAGCTGATACTAGAGCAGGTTCAACGAATGTGGACGGGTTCACGTCACGTGTCCGATTGCACCTGACTGAGGTGGCCTTGCACGGCAATGAGGAGTGAGTGCCACCAGAGGTTCAATGAATGTAGACGGGCGCGCGTCACACTTCAGCTAATAGAGCAGGTTCAATGAATGTAGACATCCCATGTCAGGCGGCATCCGTCTTTATGCCCCTTTCTTCCGTCCTCCACCCTCCTGTCACTACCCCTTTCTTTCCCACCAGAGGTTCAATGAATGTAGACGGGCGCGCGTCACACTTCAGCTAATAGAGCAGGTTCAATGAATGTAGACATCCCATGTCAGGCGGCATCCGTCTTTATGCCCCTTTCTTCATGCACCTGTCTTTGTGCCTCCGTCCTCCACCCTCCTGTCACTACCCCTTTCTTTCCCACCAGAGGTTCAATGAATGTAGACTTTAGGTGTCAGACCAGTCTGCACCTGTCTGTGTGTGCCTGAAATCCCGCCTCTGTCTTCCACACCTCTGTGTTCATGCCCCTTTCCCCCACCAGAGGTTCAATGGATGTACTTCACATGTCAGGCTGCACACGCTGTCAACTCGAGCTCAGATATGACAATGATGATGACAATGATGATGAAAGTGATGACAACAATGATAATAATTGGGGTAATGAAAAAGACAACGATGATGATGACGATGATGGAAGGGGGAGGAAAAAGGGAGCCAATCGGCGGGGTCCACATCAACAGCTGCTGCTGCGTCTGGGAGTGGCAGCCAGGCGTGCCAGCCTTCCACTCTGCCGGGATATGCCTGCTCCGTGCAGCTCAAAGGGAAAGAGTGAGTGGTCTTAGTTGTTCCGAGTGTCCAAGGCAAGTGGGGGCAAAGCGCTCTGACAGCCAGGCGTGCCAGCCGTCCGCTTTGCTGGGCTGGGATATGCCTGCTCCGTGCAGCTCAAAGGGAAAGAGTGAGTAGAGGGAGGGAGAGAGTGAGTGGTGAGAGGGAGAGGGTGAGTGGTGAGCGAGAGGGAGAGTGTGAGTGGCTAGCGATAGGGAGAGAGTGAGTGGAGGGGGGGAGAGAGTGGGTAGTGAAGGGTAAAATTGACATTAGCTGCTGGCGTCTGAGGTGGCATCCAGGCGTGCCAGCCGTCCACTCTGCCGGGATACTCCTGCTCCGTGCAGCTCAAGGGGAAAGAGTGAGTGGCGAGAGGAAAGGCACGCTAGACATGGGCATAAGGCCCCGACGGATCGGGTCGACCCGTCCCGACCCGCCTATTTTGGCGAGTTGGGTCGGACTGTCAAGACATGCCGACCCGGTCGAAACGGGTCGACCTGTCCCGGACGGGTCGGGTCGACCCACCACGACCCGTTTTACTCCCATATATACGGGACGGGCCGACCCGTCCGACCCGTACTCGCGCAACGACCAGTTCCGTGAACGGGTCTTTGATGAACAAACGGGTCGGGTTGTCCCCGACCCGAGACCGGTAAAATTAGACCCGCTAATGTCACTCGACATTTTAGGTTTGTGGGGGTCGACATTTCGAACCCCCAACTTCAGATCTAGGTGCGACCTACCTAGAGTAGTTTAGTCGTGTATCTAAGCCGAACCACTTCTGCTAAGGTTAGCCAGAGTCGTCGATGAAGAAGCTTAAGTAAACGGTGGTTGTGTTTCCCATTTGAGGAAGGCTCCGTTTCGGATCTTATTTTCGTGGATGCAGGAAATGAGTATTTCAAGCGTAAGTACGCTGTGAAAGTGGGTGGCGCGATCGCTTTGACTGCCCCTCAACTCCGCGTCGACGTCAAGGACCTACCAGTGGCTCAAATGAAAATGTTGGTTGTAGTGGTTAGTTGTTGAGTGGAGGTGCAGCTTTTGTTCCCCACCTCTCCCCACCTCCCCTCTACAATTCGTCACTACAACCAACACTTACATTTGAGCCACTGGTAGGTCCTTGACGTCGACGCGGAGTTGAAGGGTAGTCAAAGCGATCGCGTCAGCCACTTTCAAAGTGTACTTGCCCTTCAAATACTCCTTTCTTGCATCCGTGAAGTAAGATCTGAAATGGAGTCTTCCTCAAATGGGAAAACCAGCCACCGTTCTTGCATGGGGTTGTGCCGTGTTGTCCTTCAGACTTCGGTAATGTTGATCACAGAATAATTAATAGGCGTAATTTATTTTATGATTAAGGCATGTTGCATGTAACACATGGAACAAAAAATACATGTATGAAGGAACAGCAGGTACATACGAGTCATTGATACCCGACACGTATAGGGTTGACCCGACCCGACCCGGGTCACATTCGACCCGTACATGTAGAAACGGGACGGGTCAACAAAATGGTCATGCATCCCACCCGCGGTTCGACCCGACCCTTACCCGTACCCGTCACGAGTCACCCTAAATGGGTACGGGTCGGGTTGGGTCGACCCGTTGCCCATGTCTAAGGCACGCCGGCATTTGATGCACCATTCACCACACAGTCCCCTCCCATTTTACATCCCCAATCTGTGTGCCACACCATCCGCATCACAGTCGCACATTATCTGCACCCACCACTCAAAGTCTCTTCTCAATCCATCCCCACCCGTGTTCTCTTCTCTCTTTCACCTTTCCTCCCCCCCCGTTACTTCCCCTTCTCTCCTCCCACCAGTTTCATTCTCCACTGGAAGACCGGGGCAATTAGCGACTCCTTCGGTTTCATTCTGTTGAAGTACTCTTTGACTTTATTTTTCCCCGCTCTTCCTCTCCCTCATCTAACTCATCTCCCCCAACCCCTCCCCTTTTCCCAGTTTCATCCTCCACTGGAAGACCGGGGCAGCTACAGTAGCGATGGCTGCTGACGTGGCGACGTCTGGTTGGGTGACAGTCGGATGGTCAAGGATCAGCAAGATGTACCCCGCTGACGTAGCCATTAAGAACCTGCCACCTGGCACTCTCGCCAACGGGGCGGCGGTGGGAGCCTATCACATGAGCGGCTATGGCCTGTCTGACGTGGCGCTGGCGTCATCGTTCGAGCTCACCAACACGACGACCACCACAGCAAATGGCCGAAAAACAATCACGTGAGTCGGGCGTTTGTAAGTTTTTCTTATCCAACCTGAGCTGTCGGAATAGTTTTTCCCCCTCCTCTCTGGGCTCCTCTCCTGCACAAAGGGAGAAAAGTGCACCAACCACATGAGTGTTAGTCACTCTGATCAAGGCCTGCGAGAATCCTGTCAAATGTGTCAGGATGGCCGAGTTGGTCGAAGGCGCAACCCGACACTCATCGTACCATCACGGAGGACTCATGGCTGGCCGCGGCTTCTTGGCCGTTGATCAGGAGGATCCCGGACCGTGCACGTGTCCCAGTCCTCGATGCTCTTCTCCCATTGCTGCAGCGCCGCAAGGACCACCCCCTTGACGAAGGAGCTTCGTTCCTCCTCCTCCCTTTTCCCCGCATGGCCCTCCGCAAGCCTGAAACTGACAGCCTCACCTCACAGACCAAAGCATGCATTGAACACGCGCACAGGTTTGCCAACGGCGACTGGCATGAGCTGTTTCAGGAGACACTCACAGCATACAGCCCTGCAACACACCCTGCATCTATCTCCTCTGCGCGCTCGACTTCTGGTGAAGCACGAGTGCAACGTTGTGTTCGCTTTGCCTCGGTTGGGGAGTGGTCGTGCGCTTATGCAGCTTTACAAGCCGGCGAGCTCACGCCGCCAACAGCAGACACAGTCGACAAGCTACAAGCCAAGCACCCCCCCTCAACCCAACCCATCCCTCCTTGGGTCGACTCATTCACCCCTATGGACCTTCCTCAGCTACCCCTAGAGCTCCTTCAGGACGCTGTCCGCACCATGACACGGGGGGCAGCAGCAGGGCATTCTCGTTGGCTGCCGGAACACCTGCGGGATACCTTCCTAGCACACCTCTCCTACCTCCCCTTCCTCCTCACTGTATTGAACAACTAGCTTGCTGGCAAAGCTTCCGCTCGCTTCAGTATTTTTCTCACTGCATCCACTCTCGTTGCACTCAAGAAGTCCAACGTGGATGTTAGTCCCATTTCAGTCGGTGAAGTGTTTGCTCGCCTCCTCTCATGCTGTGTCGCTCTCATGTTCAAGCAACAAATTTCAGTCGCAGTTTATACCTGATCTATAGTTAGGAGTCGGATTCCCAGCTGGCATCAGCTCGCTTGTCTTTGTCATTCGCTCTTCCCTTGAACTGCATCCCGACTGGGTAGTGCTGAATGTTGATGTCGCAAACGCATTTAATTCATTCCATCGTGCAGCAATGTTCACCGCTCTTCAAGCTTCAATTCTCCTCCCTTATCCCTTTTTTTTTGCTCTTCTACGCAAGCCCCTTACCTCTCCTCTCTCACTCAGGTCCTTTGCTTCGCACGCTTCAGTCGCAGCGCGGGGTCCGCCAGGGGGATCCCTATGGTCCATTCTTGTACGCTATCACGCAGCAGCTGGTCATCCGCGCCATCCGCAACGCCTTTTCTGACATCCTTTGCATGTCGTACGCGGATGACTCATACCTCCTAGGACCCCTGCATCGATTGTAGCTGTCTTCACCACCCAGTTGTCGGTGCAAGGGTCCTTGGAGGTGTAAGTCATCCGCGTACGGCATGCAAAGGATGTCAGGAAAGGTGTTGCGGATGGCGCGGATGGCCAGCTGCTGCGTGATAGCATACAGGAAATGGACCACAGGGATCCCCCTGGCGGACCCCTCACTGCGACTGAAGCGTGTGGAGCAAAGGACCTGCGTTGAAGAGGAGAGGTGAGGGACTGGCATAGAAATGTTGGAAGAATGGGATGAGGCACGAGAAATATGAAGATTGAAGAGCAGTAAACATGGCTGCGCGGTGAAATGAATTGAAAGCATTTGCAACATCGACGTTCAGGACAGCCCAGTCAGGATGAAGCTCAAGGGAGGACCGAATGCGAAAGACAAGGGAACTAATGCCCGCGGAGACACCGACCCCCAACTGCAAGTCAGGAAGAAATTGCGACTGCATTTGCTGCTTGAACATCAAATCGACACAACGAGAAAGGAGGCGACCGAGCACTTCACCGACTGCTATGGGGCGGACGTCTGCGTTCGACTTCTTGAGGGCAATGAGGGTAGATGCTGTTAGGAAGGGAATGAAGCGTGAAGAACCCTTGCCAGCCAGCCAATTGTTCAGCACAGAGAGGAGGAAGGGGAGGAATGAGGGATGTGCGAGGAAGGTATCTCGTAGGTGTTCCGCCATCCATCCAGAATGCCCTGCCGCTGCCCCCCGTGTCATGGTGCGGATGGCATCCTTAAGGAGTTCTAGGGGCAGCTGCGGAAGCTCTATGGGGGCGAAGGAGTCGACCCATGGAGGGATAGGTTGAGTGGAGGGGGGATGTTTGGCCTGCAACCTGTCAACTGTTTTAGCTGTTGGTGTTGCAAGCTCTCCTGCCTCTAAGGCTGCGTAAGCACGTGACCACTCTCCAACTGAGGCAAAACGAAGACATCGCTGTACACGTGCTTCATCCGAGGTCGAGCGCGCAGAAGTAATGGATGTTGGGTGTGTCGCAGGGCTGTATGTTGTCAATGTCTCCTGGAAAAGCTCATGCCAGTCGCCGTTTGTAAACCTATGTGCACGTTTGATGCATGCCTTAGCCTGTGATGTGAGGCTGTCCGTTTCAGGCTTGCGGAGGACTTAGTGAGGGAAGGCAAGAAGGGGGAAAGAAGCACCGTTGTCAAGGGGATTGTCCTTGAGGCACTTCAGTATAGAGAGAAGCACGTGGAGGATTACATGAGCACGGTCCGGGATCCGAGCACGATCCACACCACTCCTGCACTTTGTCATGTTAGTCTCACCTTGTCACCTTTCACCCATCCATCATCGTGCTCACACTTTCCTATCTTGTAAATACCTTTTGGTCTAATGCGCCAGTTTCAGGTACTGGTCCGAAAAGCCGTGGAATCAAATCCCACTCCTGACATTGTTGCCCAAAGCTTTTGTCTTTTCTCCATTCTCTGGCTTTTCTCGTTCCCTTATCTCCACTCACCCACCATTCCCCACTTTACATTCTCCCTCCCTCTTGGCATCAGCAGCACCAGCAGCACCACTCATGTGGGCCTTTTCTGCATTCACCGTGTCGAATCGTGGAGCCTTGTTTTGTTTCCCAATCCATCAACCCACTTCTTCCTCCCCCACCTACCTCTTCCCCTTTCCCCCACCTATATCCCTTCCCGCCACCCACGTCCCCTGAACTGAACCCAAAAGTCAAGGCTTCGAGCATCCCTTCTAAGCCCCTTACCCCTCCCTTCTAAACCCCTTACCCCTCCTTTCTAAACCCCTTACCCCTCCCTTCTAAACCCCTTACCCCTCCCTACTCAACCCCTTACCCCTCCCTTCCACTCCCCCACATCTCTATCCCCTACCCCAGTCCCCCACTGTCTCTACCCTCTGTCGCCTAATCCCCTTGCCTCAGTCCCCATCGTGCTTTGGGCCTTCTCTCTCCTCCCCTTCACCCGTATCCAGTATCTTACTCTACCCACAACCCCTCTCGCCTATCCTCCATCCCACCCCGCGCAGGTTCGAGCACTTCCTGTCAGTGGGAGCAGTTTCCATCAGCAGCAGCGGTCCCCACCAGCGTGCTCTGGCCCTTCTCTAGCTCCGACTCGCAGCAACTGGAAGATCATGGGCACAACGAGTGAGTGCCGTGCAGGGGGAGGGGGAGAAGGTAGTGCTATAGTATGGTTAGGTTGGGTTTGGGTGCTCTGGGCCTTCTCTCGTTCCCGACTCGCAGCAACTTGAAGACCGCTCACTCTTTAAGCCGTTTTAACTGCCAATTCCCAGGAAAAACTTATAAGTTAGGGTTGAAACCTAAGCCGTGAGATTTGTACTTTCTTGTCTCACTTGCTCAGCTCCCATGTACTCCCCTCCAATGTTGAAATCACTTTTGAGAATTCTCAAAAGTGATTTCAACATAGATGAGATTCGTACTTTCTTGTCTCTCTTGCTCAACTCCCACGTATGAACCCCCCCCCTCCCCCCCCAATGGTGAGGCGCCTTGAGACCTTTTCAGGCGTCTCAAGGACTCCTAAAGAATGAACGATTACTTTTGAGGCGCCTTAAAAGGCGCATTAAGAGTCGTCTTTGTCAGGCGCCTGGAGGGCTCACAAAGAATGAAATCAATGCTTCATTTTCTTGCTCACCTTACCTCCTCTTCACTGCCCCGATTCCCCACTTTCCCCTCTCCCTTTGCTCTGCGCCCATCACCCACCAGAGGCTCCATTAGAATCAACTTCGTTACAGGCGCTTCCTTGTCTCGCCTGCTCACGTTACCTCCCATCTACTGCCCCGATCCCTCGCTCCCCCCTCTCCCCTTGCCCTGCGCCCACCACCTATCACCAACAGGGGCTCCTTTAAAAAAACTTTGTTATAGTCGAGTCAGGAAAATCAACCTCCCACTTCCTCCTTCCCCCCTCCCTCTCACCACCCTCCACCCACCAGAGGCTCCATTAGAATCAACTTCGTTACAGGCACAGTCGAGTCAGGGAAATCGAATAACAATCCCGAGACAGTCTATGCGGCGCTAGGTGGATTCTCACTATAGTTTTTGGCATTCTTATGCCAGATGCCATGCTTATATCGAGGATATTCCTGGCGGATAAGCCTGCTTCACCCCCTGTAGCTGCAGCGGCTGCAGCGGCGGCGGCGGCGGCAGCAGCAGAAGCAAGGGAAGAAGCAGCAAGAAGAGGGGATGGGTCAGGCAAACCCATATTGCTAGGAAGCAAGGAAACCGACTGGATTCAGCCAGACAGGCTTCAAATGGGAGCAGCAGGAAATGAAGGAGAAAAAACAGTAGCAGCAGGGGTGGCAGGGTCAGCAGGGGCAGCAGGGATAATCACCCCAGTATATATTGGCCCCACGGTAACCCTAGCAAAGCCCTGGATATCCAAGCCTCAAGCATTCAGCGCCCACAAGTGGATCATGCTCCTCGCTGTCGTGCTCTCATTGGTCAGAATTAATATGGCGTTTGTCCGATTGGGGACGAGCTCCCTGCAGTCGACACATGGCAGGCTGGGATTGGCCGTGCTGCTGCTGATCGTTCTCCAGCCAATCATCGGCCACCTGAGGCCAGTCAAGAGCCACGTGTCGCGATGCTATTGGTTGCATTGGGTGGTGGGCCTGGCGATTGTGGCAATGGCTTGGAGCAACACGTGCCTTGGGATTGACCTTGCTAGCAACCAATTTGGCTACAACCTTAATGTGAGTCCGGCAACCGTTTCTTGTTTGATTTCCTTATTTGGTTTCCTTCCCTTTTTATGCAAGCATTTAGCTGCATAGCTTCACGAAGTTGACTCTGCTCGTCAACTTTCTTGTTTTTTTTAGTGATGGCATGTTTGTCTCCTCTTATTGATCATGTGGTATCCTGGTGCTTCTTACTAACCAGTGCACCTTCCCCCCTCCCCCTCGCCTCCTCCCCCCTCATTGTGTTGCTCTCACTTGCAATGGTTCTTCCCTCATTTTCCCCTCCCTTGTGCCCCCCTTATCACTGTTTCATCAATTGCAGTGATGCTACATCGTTTTCTACATTTTAACTCTTCCAATATGTTAGGCCCGACGGCCTAAGTCCGCTAAAGAATTAGCGGGTTTGACTAAGTCGAGGATGAAATGCGGCGGAAGACTTTGGCGAAAGAACTATTGGCGAAATAGGCGAGGAAGTTACTGAGTAATTGAAGAAGAGTTGAATGAGAATTGGTTGATATTGGTGGATACGGTACAAGCAAGGATGATATAGCATGCAAGATCGAATGTCGGAAAGTACTCTGTGGGACTAGGAAATGTGAGGCAAAGAAAGTAGAGTGCCACGTGGCACTAGGAAATCTAGAAAGATAAGATGAGGATGAGTTGGATGGGTTGGGAAAGTACTGTTCAAAAGGAACAGTAAATCCCCCTTTAACACTACCCCCCTCCCAAGGAGGCGACGTTCGCGGCGCCTGCAGACTGAAGGTACGCTTGAAGGCAAGCGTTGTCGGGAGACAGCGAGGACGAAGGAACCCAGCTGTCGTCGGCTGCATCGTAACCACGCCAACGAACCAAGAAGTCGAAGAAAGAGACACCCCCCTGGAGACGGCGTCGGTGCCTGAGGATGCGCTGGATCTGGTAGTCGGGCTCGTCGGTGTCAACAGCTACCGGCAGTGGATTGCGATCACGGCCCGAGAAGGTGGCGTTGGGATCGGTGTATGGACGAAGGAGAGACACGTGGAATGACGGGTGCATGCGGAAATGAGCGGGAAGGGAAGGCGGTATGCGACTGGACCTAGTGCGCGTTCAATGACGAATGGACCAATGAAACGAGGGCGAAGCTTGCTGTCCTGTGGCAGTCGGAGGTTGCGGCTGTCGAGAAGGACACGGTCGCCAACTAAAAACGATACCTCACGACGACTGCGGTTGGTGGTGCGTGCCATGCGTGCATTTGCGAGCTCAAGGTGCTTCCTCACGTGATCATGAATGAAGGTGAGATGCTGGTGGAAGTTGTCCGCACGAGGGACTGTGGATGTGAGATCGACACGAGTGGGGACATTGGGGTGCTGACCGTACAGTGCGAAGAACGGTGACATGCCTGTGGACGAGTGGTGCGTGTTGTTGTAGGCGAACTCGGCCATGCTCAGCTTCTTGTCCCATGCGGCTGCGTCGTGCATCGTGATGCTGCGAAGAATCTGCTCCAAGGTCTGGTTCACACGCTCGGTCTGTCCGTCTGTCTCTGGATGGTACGCAAACGACATGGCTAAGCGAGTCCCGAACAGTGCGAAAAGCTGCTTCCAGAACTTCGAAGTGAAACGAGGGTCGCGGTCTGAGATGATGGAATCTGGAACCCCGTGCAGTCGGACTACGTTATCTACGAACAACGTCGCGGCTTCCTCTGCTGTAACCTTGCCGTGCGTGGGGATGAAGTGCTCTGATCGAGAAAACTTATCCACTACTACGAAGATGGCGTCGTGACCCCTAACTGTGCGCGGTAATGCCATGATGAAATCCATTGTGACTACCTGCCAAGGGCGGTCGGGCGGTGGAATCGGCTGCAAGAGTCCTGCTTTGCGCTGGCGAGAGGAATTCGTACGCTGACACGTGTCGCACGAGCGAATGTAATCCTCTACGTCTGCTGCAAGCCCTGGCCAGTAGTACGTGCGACTAAGCGTCTTAGCCGTCTTATCTGCTCCGAAGTGCCCTGCACTAACTACGTCGTGCGCCTCTGAGAGAAGGAGCTGTCGAAGAGGGCGGTAGGCTGGAACCCAAATCCGTGTGGTACCCTTCCGTATGTAGACACTACCCTGCACCTCTGCTCCTGCGGGCGGCTGCGGTGTGAAGACGGGATCTATTGTGTAACCGTGCTCGAAGAGTGCTGTGAGAAGTGGATGGCCGGCAGTGACTGTGAGGCTGGCGAGCTGGCAACTAGGGCGAGTGAGCGGATCTGCTGGGTTGCGAACGCCTGGCTTGTACTCTATCCTGTAATGGAAACTCCCCTCCATGAACTCCATCCATCTAGCCTGGCGACGATTCAGCTGCGGCTGCGACTTGAGGAAGCGAAGCGAGCAATGGTCCGTGCGTATAACACTATCTGCCCCCTCTAGGTAGCACCTCCAAACCTTATACGCATGGATGATCGCGAGCGCCTCCTTGTCGTGAATCGGGTAGTTCAGCTCCGCTCCCCTAAGCTTACGCGACTCGTATGCTATCAGCTGCAACCCGCGGCCCTGGCCCTGAAGAAGCACTGCTCCAATGGCCCGATCTGATGCGTCGGTCACTACAACGTACGGGCGAGTGGGATCTGGGTACGACAGTGTCGGTGAAGACGTGAGCGACTGCTTCATCTGCTCGAACGCCTGCTGCTGCGTTGGACCCCAATCGAAATCTACGCCCTTCCGAAGTAGGTCGGTGAGTGGACTAGCGATTGATGCGTAACCCTGAACAAAACGACGGTAGTAATTCGCGAATCCGAGAAAGCTCTGCAGTTCCTTGACTGAGGTCGGAGCTACCCAATCCTGTACTGCTGCGATCTTCTTCGGGTCGGTCCTAATGCCACTAGCGGATACGACGTGTCCTAGTAACTCGACCTCGGGGAGAAAGAACTCGCACTTCGACTGCTTAGCGTACAACTGCTCCCTCCGCAAGACCTCGAAAACCTTCTGCAAGTGCTGCACGTGCTCCTCTTTTGTTTTGGAGAAGATGAGGATGTCGTCTAGGTAGACTACGACGAATGAACCTAGGTGTTCATGAGCGTCTGAAACGTTGATGGGGCGTTGGTCAAACCGAACGATAGAACACTAAACTCGTACAACCCCTGCTTCGTACGAAACGCCGTCTTGTGCTGGTCCTCTGGAACTACACGAATCTGATGGTAACCCGAACGAAGGTCGATCTTTGAGAAGACTCTAGCGCCCTGCACTGCATCGAGAAGATCCTCTACTCTCGGCACCGGGAATCTATTCTTGACGGTGGCGGCGTTCAGTGCGCGGTAATCTATGCACATCCGTAACCCTCCGTCTTTCTTAGGCGCGAACAGGATCGGTGCTGCCCAAGGCGATCTAGATGGCTGTATGAACCCCTGCGCGAGAAAGTGCCTAACATGCTGCGTCATCTCCTCTGTCTCTGCTGGACTCAACC